AAATTAACTCTATCCCTGCCGAAACCAGGACACCTGCATGGCTCCTGCACTTGCCTTGATGGTTATGTGTATTGTGTTAGCCTGGCTTACATGAAAGATGATGTTTTGTTTCTAAAATAGTTAGAGTTAATAAACACAGATGGTGTGAGAAAGAGAGAGGAATGGAGTTTCTGCTTTCTCATATAAAGGAAAGCTGTTCTCAAAAACATTTCTCATTTTCCTCCTTGAAGCAGCTGATTTAAAAAAAAAAAATACACAATTTCCTGCCTTTTAATGTCCATAATGCTAATTCCCCCCACAAAAAAATCTCTTCCAGAATTTCTTACAGAATTCATTCAGAAAAAATTTCTTACAGATTTAACTGTCTTCTAAAGACAGAAGAAGATTGTAATAGTAATAGAAATGGGAAGATTGGTAAGAATGGGGAAGGAATGGCAATGGCTGGGTGTGAGGCACCAGAAGGGACCAAAGGCAGGACACTATAAGTGAATGCTGTAAGAGTGGCAGGTGGTGATGGGACCTCATTGAGAAGCCCACCAAGATGCCAGCACACGCTGCGTGCAGCTGCTCAGGACACAGTCAGGAAACGAAGAGCAGGGAGTAAATCCTGATAACTCCCAGAGGTGGAGCAGGATGGACAGTGTAGTTGCTGCCAGCAACTGAAGGGTACAAAAGGCACATCCAGAGACAGCACATGGTCACCAATCTAAGGGGAACCCAGGAAATTTGATGAGGACATGATGGCACCATCCCTCATCCTCAAAGTCATCACGAAGATGGACACACGCATCCTGGTGTCTGCATGCTGGTCGGAGAGCTTGGGTACACCCATCTGGTGAGGATGTGAGTACCGGAATATGAACGTGAGTGAGTCAGATCAGTACTGCTTTAAAATAAATTCGCTTGCCTATAAGGTGATAAAGTCACCCTCCTAGAGGGACTTGCATTGAGTTTGCTATGTTGTGGCTGCTCATTGATTATTCATGTACATCCAGCTTCTGTGCGCCTCTCCAATTTATTGCCCATTGCAGTGCAGGTGTGGGAGAGCTTTCTTTATACAAAGGACATCCGTATTTGCCAACACCAGAGAAAGTGTCCAGCACAACTTTTTAAATAAACCAGGAAATGCTTCTGACCTAACCTGCCCCACGGGCTGGGACATGTCCTGGTGAATACTAGGCTGCCTCTGAAAAACATAGCTGCAGACCGGAGAGCCATGAGTGCTGTCAATACAAGCACTCAGTCTCCTCTCTTCACCTGAGACTGTCTGGGAAGACCAACAAAAGGAGGGAACATAAGTGCACCACACCCAATTTCACTAAAATGAAGGGAGTTTGAGGCTCCTATTGCCATTTACCATCTTCATTTTGTAGGCTCTCTGTTTCTTTGGAGTGCTGCAGTACTCAAGGGTTCCCAGGAAGCCTAGGCTTGCGGGCACTGATGGAAACAGGATATTGAACTGCTCCATCTCAATAAAATCTACCCTTGCAGGAAGCTTTCTGAGGCATGGCTCAGTTCTAGCAAAGTGGGAGGCCTGCGACAGCAGGGGCTGCTGGTAGACGGTTGCTTTCATTGAGAGGTTATTTTGTTGGGATGAGCGTTTATCCCACAGCTACTTCCTCCTGTCATCAAGGTAATAAAAAGTCACACCCGAGTGCTGACTTTGGAGACGCAGCATCCTCCCCTCTCTTCTCACAAACTCCCTGCAATGCCACGTCTGTACAGTCACATCCACGTGAACTCACATTAAGCCCAGGCTGCTCTTATACTGACTTGCACTCTGGCCCAAACTGCAGCTTTAAGTGGAAAACTCAGTGGGAGAGCAATATAAGAAAACACAGATTGATCCCCCCACCCCTTTTGCAGCTGGCGAGAGGACCTAGACACCTCTTGCCGCAGCTGACCTCGGCTAACAAAAGCTGACTCCGCGGGGTCCACCAGCAGCCCCTGGCCACTTAGCAGCAGAGAGCCAGAGCTCTTTTTAGCCCAGATGATTCAGCACAAAGAAGCCTTTATAGCTCAGCAGCAGGCATCTCGCGCCTCTTCTCATCACGCCTCTTCTCAGGTTTTAAATACAAGGGGACAAAAGTTCTTGCAAACCCCTGATTCTGTCAATTCCTTGAGCATATGCCTGTAATGCTGTTTCTGGCATTTAAGTATCTTTAAATGGAAAAGATAGAGTTCTTAGGAATCACGGGACACTGCATGCACCATCTCTCTCTCAGAGCCAGCATCTTCCCTGGCATAAGCTAATCACCACTTGTGATATTCTTTGTTTGTAGGGCAGGATACTGAAAAACACTGAACAGCAGCAGAAGAAAGTTCTATGCAAGCAGCTGCGCGTCATGAAGAATGAACAGGAGGTCCTCCATGCCAAAGGGTATCACAGCAACCGAGAGCTCAGCCGTATTTCAAAGGGATTAGAAGTGCATAGATAGCAAGAAGAATTTTAATAACAAAAGACTAAATAGATGCAAGTTTGCAAGCAACAGGAGCTCTCCGCTTTATTGCAAAGTTACACTACATAAAAAGGAGCAGCAGGAACAAGTCTTATCCCACCCTGCCAGCTGCAGTGGGGCTTGCAGCATCCGCAGAAACAGCCCATACCTGTCAGCCCTGGCAAGGAGCCTCCACTAGGTAGAGGCAGAACAGAAATTCGTGCTGTAACTTCCCTATTTATATGAATAAATAGTCAGTTCAGACTGTTCAGAAAGCAATGCTCAATTTTTGGAAGTTTTCCCTCTTTTTTTTGTTTGTAATTTACCATTTGGATCACATTTTTTGTGTTTTCTTCAGAATCTCAGGGCTTAGCCTGGCTGTGGATAACTTTAACACCCAGCTACACACCTGCCAAGGCCTGAGTGGGCAACAGCTCTGGAAGTTACCTGAAAAAATGTGAAGTCAAACTAAATACCTGCAGTGTTGCTTCTGGGCACGAAGATGCCAAAGCATCTGTGCCTATACAAGGCTGAACAACTTTGTACTGATACTTAACCCTGATGTTCTTCCAGTTTCTCT